CTTTTATGTTTTGGCAATGTATACTTTGCGTAGTCTGGCTGTTACCACTATACAGACTCTGGTAGTAGCTGTCAGAGTTTCTGGTACGCGCAACTAAACTACCACTACCATGTGAGTATAATAGTACTAACCACACTTTATAGCAGACGCTGCTACGTTAGTTTCTCAGTGTAGGTATTGAAGTTACATCCTGCTTTTTTCTTTAAAAAATAGGCTTCACCTTTGTGTGATTAGGAAAATAATTTAAAGGCCTTTTAGGGCTTATAACTTTAGACCTTCTAAACTTTTAACTTACTTGAGCCCTCTTTGTAGACTTGTTATGTCAAACACTTATCTTTTCAGCTAGCGTACTCTGCACGGCTCCCCGGTTTTAGCCTCGTTAGTTGTAGTAGTAAAAAATGTCTATTAATCACATTAACGTCAAACTTCTAACTTTCTGTTTGGTTAACATAAAATCCTGACATTGCGAAATAATAAAAAAAAAAATAAATATAAGTCCAACGAGATAAGTTACATGCAAAACTTTCATTCCAAATTAATATTTTTGTTGCAAATAAGAGTTGAACTGGTAATATATACATACATATATATATTTAGGTATTACGTATGATATAGCGTTAGAAAGTATCTTCAATTTTAAATAAGAATTCATGTATCGCTAACGAATGCGAATGCATCTTTTTTGTTCTCATTGATTGTCAAAGAATCAAACTGAAAGCTTTAAAATCACGATTTTTAGATCTTTTTTTAGTTTAGAAAAAAATGGTTTGTATCTGGTACGGTGTTTTGAACGTAAAATTAAAACTTAAGGACCCAAAATACATATTCTTACAGTTACTATACGTACAGAAAACTAAATTCATATTAGTAATTTAAGTGCAATAACAAATTTTTTGCACAACGCTACGTCACCTACCCTATATCTGTCTTAACTGTATCATTTTTTTATCAGGAGCCACTTTGCAACAAAAAGTATGATCTAATACCTACAAAATAAGCACAAAAATCTTTTTTATCAAGCAATCATCAAGCAATCATCGATGATCAGCAACCCAGCTATTTTTTAGTACTATTTTTTATTAAATTGTACCCACAGGCGAGAAAGCATCAGTGATTAGCCAACCAACTGTGTTTTAGTACAGTTGGTTAACAAAATATATATCTTCTGGAAAGCAATCATGAATGATTAGCAACCCAACTATTTTTTAGTATAGTTAGTTAGCAAAATATACCCTCGGGTAAGAAAGCATCGATGATTTGTAACCTATTTAGTTTTTAGTAAAGCCAATTAATAAAATATGTTTTTGGGTGAGCAAACATCGGCAAAAAGTTACTCAACTATTTGTCGAATTTTATTTCTTAACAAAGTATACCCTTATAGGTAAGAAATAGTTTAATATAGAAATACAAGAATATACATATTATGCACAAATAGTCATATGATAAACACTTTTTAAGTGTTTAAAATTTAAAAATCAGTTACTTGACCCACTTTACAGAATTAATAACTTGTACTCTGTATGTACTGTAACGGGGTGTCTGTGCTCGCTTACGGCTCCGAAAGCCACTAATTAATGCGAGGAGTACTTTAACCAGGACTGTGCTTCCCGGGTACCTTCGGAGACATAATCACGTTACAACGTGGACAGCGAATCCGCTTTTCCTTGTTCTCGTCTGCTTGCTGAGGAGCCAGCTAAGCTCTGGTCTAACTCAGGATGCTCGCGCGTCGGTGTTTACGCGCGAGCCCGCGGAGGGGGCAGAATAAGGCTGGTACTCGGCTTTCAACTCTTCTTTGCACTTCACGATCTCTATTTACAGCCTGTAAATAAAGAATAGCTGGAAGGGCTTCATGCAGGGAAAGGCTCGCGCAAAGCAGAAGACAAACTTTTAATAATCATAAAAACAGAGTCTATATTGATCGCACTGATACAAAAGCATATGGGTGTGTATGTGTGTGTGTGTGTATTTCGCTCGATCGCCTTAATGGTAAGGCACGTACGGCCAGGGAAGGTTTTTCTCTCGGAGCCGACGGCACGCAATAATTCGACCGGGCACAGAGAGAGATTACGCGACTATCGCGATTTTCACGCACGCACTGCGCTTACCTGGCTTTTCGTAGCCTCGTGTTTACGCTTGTTAGCTGAGCAGATGATCTTCCCACAAGAATTCTCGGCCAGGTATCTTGCTGGCAAGTCGCTTGTTTGGAGGCGTAAGGTGACAGGCGCTGACAAGGCGATGGCAAGGCTGTCCCTTGGTGACTTGGTATGCTTTTCAGTTGAGAGACGCACGTGTGTACCCTACCTATACCTTATCTCTTCTGGCCTCAAGGCTCAGAGCGTCCCGCGCTAATACACATCACAAGACGCTTGTCTCTCCTTTCTCTCTCTCTCGCTCTCTCTCTCTCATGTACACACTCAGATGACTCCCTCTCTCTCCAGCCTTTCTCCCTCGCGCAGTCTAAGTGAGCATAAACGGCGTTTAGGTATTAATCGCCCGTTACAATACATGTATTTTATGTGTATTGAAAAAAACGAATATTTATTTATTTTATAAAACGCAATATTCTCTTATAAAAAAATTGTGATAGTTTATTGTTTCATAACCTAATGAATTTTAAAATTAATAAAGATTGAGGCAAACTAGACTGCTAAAGATTATTGAGTATAGAAAAAAAAAAATTTATTCACAGAAATTCAAGAAATATCAAGTTGAAAACTTATTTCACCACACACGAAACAATGCGCTAAATCAGTTACCGCCCACAAGTGATTCGGTTCAGTTACACATCAGAAGAGAATTTTACGTAACACATGCATAATTAAATTTGCTTACATCCCATTCATGAAACTTTAGATATCCTTGATTCAGGTTTTACCTACAAAAAAACCTGTTGATACGGGCAAAAATTCAAAAGTATTTGCTTCCAACAGATGAATTTGTACTCTACCGTGTTTGTAGAGTATGTTTGACAAAAGCTTCCAACTGCGTACAACCAGTAATAGAGTGTTACGGATATTGCTCGTGTTTCAAGTATAATAGATGTAAAAATCGTTTCAATCCTAGGCATAAATAGAAAAAATATATAATATAAAGCGAGCTGTAACTCACTCAACTAGGTTGCAGGTCAGCACGTGAGAGACCGCAGCTCAATTCCCGGTCAGTGTGACTTTTTTGAACACGTACCTGTGTATAATTTCACATGTGCTTTTTCACTGCCTCCTTGTGAAGGGAATGGGTGACCTTCTTGCAACAATATTGCCTATTTTCCCTTACCCCCATCCTGGAATGGAAGGCCTCTCATCCCTTTTCTTATCCCTTTCTAAAGTGTCAAGTGTCCTGAGTAGTGAACCTTGTGGTTCATAATGTACTTTCAATACATGTGACATACATTTATATACGGAGTACAAGTTATTCACGCCATAAAGTGAGTCAACTAAGTGATTTTTCAATTTAAATAACTAAAAATTAATAATTTTTTGACTTAATGTCCAGAACACGTATACACTTTTTTTTCTTGTTTCAAACCATGTTTTACAAAAAAAAATTTTCCGAAATGAATTTTTCCGCCCTCGGGTGGTTTTGGGAGGCTGGTACTTCCTCGGGCGAAAAAGCAGTTTTCCGGAACTCGTTCGAAAAGTCTCCTTTACGAACCTCGTTACGTCCCTCGCCTTCGGCTCGGGCCGCAAACGTCTCGGTTCGCAAACAACTCGTAGGAAAACTACCATTTCTTACCATGGGCCCAAAATGCAACTGCCTCTTTGCGCCCTGAGATCACACTTTGCGCCTTTGAAATCACTTTGGGCCCACAGGCAGAAAAGTTTTTTGCGTCCCCTGGGCCCAAAGTACTTTTCTGTCCTAGGGCCTAAAGTGATTAACCGGGCGCAAAGTGTGCCCATGGGCACAAAATTGCACTTTGTGCCCTCGGTAAGAAAAATATTATACGCGACTCGGGCACCAACATACAACAATCGCGTTCTTCGGGGGCTCATGTTTGTACTTTGTGCCCTAGTCACGTAATGTACCATTTCAGTTATCATAACTTGTTTAAGTTATTGAATTTAAAATAAATTGTACCATGTTTCGTACTTTGTAAAATAAGTATTCGTATTCAGTGAAAAAAAAGTACGAGACCGCATTGTTGTTTTAGGATTATTTGGGAAGCTAATCGATCCAGCGCTCGAACAGGCATAATTACAAATCAGAAAAACAGTCGAAAACGCAATTTGTTTTTATCAGTATACAATCATTTTTACAGATTCAATTCGGCGTTGTGATATAATTCCATAGTTAAGGGTTTACAGAAAATATTGCTTTTTGGAAACCTGATAAATATTTCTTTTTTTTTTTACTGGGTTACTGTGACAGCCCACTCGCTGAAACCTACACTCGCTCCGAAACACCTGGAGTTTTATAGGAACTTTTGTGAATGAAAACAGTTTTTGAAAAAATCTGCATTCACTAGAATTCGAACCCATGACCTCCTGAACGGTGTGGTATCAATACCATTGAGCTATCACCGCTATTCTAATAAATTTTAATTATTTTAAAAGTTATTTCTACTGAAAAATTGGTTAAATGCGTGATGAATTTTACAATTTTTTTCTGTACGTTCTCACAGTTGGATTTGAGACAAATGGTACCATTGATCGTGATTTCTGAACAAAATATTCGTGTTCAGTGGAAATAAGACGTAATTACATTTTATTATTTTATTGCAAGACTATTAATAACGATATCTGAAAATGTGTATGAATTAATCCTGGTGTTTTTATGTAGACAGCGAGTAAGGACTCAAGTAGTACGTTGGTATTCTCTTACCCCATCCCATCTTTCTTCCTGTCCTATTCCTAAGTGTCGAGTGCCGCAAAAAAAAAAGATGTATAACACTTTGTATGAAAAAAACTTAGTTCTATTAGACAATACTAGTTTTAGTAACAATTTAATAAATAATCATCCCTCAATTATTCATCTTACAATTAGTAATTCTTTGTTAATTGCAGATCCATTATAAATGGTTACTTATCGATTAAATCTGGAGAGAGTGACATAGTAGTAGCTGGTGGTCAAGAAAGTATGAGTCAATCACCTCATGCTATACATCTAAGGGATGGAGTAAAAATGGGTGGTGGCACAATGATTGATACCATGATTTTTGATGGACTTACTGATGCTTTCGGCTACATTCATATGGGTGTTACAGGTACTACTTATGATGATTTAAATTCATCTTTGCTCATTCTATGAAAACATTTTTTCAGTAACTCTATTTACCCAATATAAAGTTTATTTTCAGTACTCAATACCCCGAAAGAAATAAAGATCAAAACATTAGTCCAGCATTCAGTTTACAAATCACTTATTCTGTTATCTGTATCATTAATCTAAAAATGTTCGAATCATTCTTGAATGAAATTGCTTGTATTTATCGTCCATTCACGAGTTTATATGTTTGCCAGGGCTTATTCTTTTTATCTTGTCCTTTAGTGACCAAATTGAGATGCAACACTCTTCTTTTGTCATAGAATATTATCCGGTAAGCTGTAGGACCTCTAGAGTTATCTTCCTATCTCCATCTTTGTTGTGAGTGGGTGATGATGTTTATAAAATGTGGTATTTATTTTGTTTTATTGATGAAAAAGCGGCAGTTAAATATCAGAGTAGCATATGCTCTGAACTGAAGAGTAATAACATCCTCTATTTACAGTCCTAGTTGCTGGGTGAAAAAAATGAGAAAAATTATTATTTATTTTTGTTCTTACGAATTCGTGAAAAAACTGATTTAAAAAAAAATGATAGTATGTTGTAAGGGGGAGAGGGAGGGGCTTACTTTTTTTCCAAAAGTTAGAGGGGTTGAGAATTGAGATAAGATGTATAAAGTAGGTAAAGGACACTAGAGAACTATGAGATCCAAAGAGCTATAAACTTAATGGTTACGGTAAAAATTGTAATGTATAGAACACGAAACGTGTGGGAAATTATACATAATGCAGTGCTGCTTCAAATGTATTTAAAAAAAAATTCAAGTTTCGTAGATAGTATCATGAAGATTGGAGAAATAGGAAATCAAAGGAGCTATAAAAACCAATATTTATGGGATGCAGTCCTGCGTGGTTGTTTAAGAATAAGAGTGAAGGAGTGAGTAAGGAGCCCTAAGAAAACGAAAAAAGGTGTGCAGAAGTAAAAATAAAAAGTATCAAAAGTTACAAATTTCATTACATTTATTTATGTCTTTTTGTACATAAAAATTATTTAGTCCCTAATCTCTCTCTCTCTGCCATCGTCCATCCTGTTTTACTATCTTACACTTTTCTTTGTGGAATAGTTACAGAGATATCTTGTTAAGGCTGAAAGTCGTAAAAATGTAGGGTACTAGCGTTGCGCACTAAAATTAAATGAAAGTTTTACTGTATACTTAAACTTCCAAAAACCCCTGAATTTTATTATAATAATAGTGATAGTCGCACATTAGTATTTACGTCAGAGTTGTATGAAAGTAAAACACTACTCTGGAAAAGAAGTGTGCACGGTTTTTTTTTTTTTTTTAGTCAAAGCAAAATTGTTATGAGTTCTTGAAAAAATCATAAGAAGCTGTACAAAAATCAAGGGGTGCTTTACTCATTGCTTATACACACCCTCCTAGAAATCTTCTCAAGGGTGGGGTAAAATAGGAGCAGATGGATAATTAGTGAGGAACTCAAAACTAAAAAGAAAAGTCAATCTCTATCACGCACTCATAGTCATAACAGATTTCTTTTACCTGTCGAAAACGAACTAGCGTGATCAACATGAAATCCATGATTGAAAAATTGTGCTCTATGGTGTTGCAGTATGTTATGTACTAATTTAGGCTTCATGACGTGATTAAGGAGATTTATCGCAGTTAGCGGAGGAAAACTAGATAGTAGTGATGTGGGAGTTAACATGCGGAAGCACTGGAAACTGTTTTGCACATACTATATACATGCACCTGAACCTATTTTTTTCATTTTATTGCTAAAATAACTTGTCGATTCCTCTAAAAAGTTAATATAATATTAGTTTTATGTATTGCGTCATGCAAAAAAGAAAATAGGACGAATTCTATAGACCATTTTCTTTCTTTTTTTTTCACCTTTTTAGTGTGAGTATCTCCGGTGGAACACCTTGTCAGTTAAGCTGACACTCTCTGTACCAACGGTGCATCGGGTCCACTCTCCACTGTGTAGCCTTTTCCCGAACAGGACTCCATAATATTCCAGGACGTCCGCTTCTCGCCGGTTAAGCCGGCGCTCTCTGTCGAAGCATCGGATCCAAGCTAATTAGCATCCTCCGAGAAGCCCCATGTTCCAGGGATCACTCCTCGCCGGTAAGGCCGGCGATCCTTGCCTGACGCCTGGCATCGAATCCTCTAATCCCTACCTATAACACTGTTTCGTATTCATCCAGGACTGAAGACCTGCGGGGCAAGGAAAAAAACCCTGAAGTTACTCTGAAGGAAAATTCCACGAAAAAACCCGCCCCGTAACAGTCGGGGTTACATAGGAACTTTTCTCGATGAAAACAGTTTTTGAAAAAAATCTGCATTCACCGGGAATCGAAATCACGACCCCTAGAAGAGCGTTGTATCAGTAACAAGCACGCTTACCACTGAGCCAACGCCGCTCTTACAGACCATTTTTTAATGAATTCTATTTTTGTGTGACTTCTCCATAAGGTTACGTCTTAAATTAAAATTTTATCAACATTTAACTTTTAGAAAACGATGTTATAAAACGTTTTTAAATTTAACATGTGGCTTTTTAACATCATTGAATTATCCTGTTAAAATTTCAGGAAGATCTTACAGAAAACGCTATGTGTTGTAGGAGTTATTGGTCAGGGTTCGTTTGTGCCAACCAGACGAGTGTGTCCTACGAAATTTGTATTACAAATAGTGATATTGCGGTGCTTGTGTTAGCTGAAAGTTTATTACACAACTCACGAAAAAGTATGTTATGTATGTTAAACATATATAACTATGTAAAGTATGTTAAACTATTATTTAGTAACTACAAAAAAATAAATAAGTCGTTTTCAAGACTTAAATCAAACTATTATTTACAATTGAATTTCTCGCATAATTTTTGCTTTTGCTAATTTCAGTGAATACAATAGCTGAACAATTAGAAGAAGAAAAATAAATGCCAAGCATTACGACGAAGCAATGCCAGGTCGAACAGAATTACCAAAAAAAAATTTATATCTTGGAGCAAAGAAAGGTCAGTAAATTTTCTACAAGTTTGTTAGAGCTGACCAAATGATACCTATATAATACACATGATAATAACAACAAGAATAACAACAACTACAACAAAAACAACAACAATAATAATTTACTTATACTTTTAGGTTTACTAGCACGCACAGGTGCACTAATATAACGCATCAAATGCCAAATTGATGATGCTGTTGATGAAAATATACATGTAGGTGCAAGGAACGCACACATATACACACATGCACAGCTGCTATTATCGTCGTCTGCTAAGAAACCAGAGGCTGTCCTTTGAGTACTCTGTGGCCTGAAGTAAGGTCCTTAGCAACGTGGCTTCGCGTTGGCAGACCCTTGGAGGACGCGTAGCTAACAAAAGCAACAAGCCAAGCTAGTGTTAGCGCTAACTTATTGTGAGCCCGTGCTTCCTACTTTTCCGTATAACCAGCAGAACCTCTTGAGGACGAACGTTGATGTCTGCTTGTATAGCAATCTGGAAGGTGCTTAGCGTTTACGGTAGTATGAAAAAGTGATCAATCATTGCCCTCTTTTCTCCCGGAATTTAAGAGTTACACGAGTGCTTAGTACAATAAACGTTGAATTCATTACCGTATTGCTAAACGGGTGAGATAAATTACTGTCACCCGCGTGGTGTGCTAGATTAAATTAGTGTCAATATTAAGCTAGTATACATTCAAGTGAACGACTTTTAGTGTTGGACCTACAACACTTGCTATTATTGAATAACGTTGAAAGATGTGATCCAGTGATGTGGTTGGAAAGACTTTTCATCTATGTTGAAGGTTTATACATAGTACTGCAGTGCAGTACTCAAAATATAAAAAAGTGCACGTATCATTTGGTTTTGTGGCAATCAGTGCCTCTCAAATGTCCCTTACGTACACAATGACCAATACCCCCGTTTCCTCCTCCACCGTTACTGTAATCCCCAGCAGCGGTGTGATTAATTAATAGCAAAATAAAAAGCAAACATGTCTGGCTCCATGTATGGGAGAAAAAAAATGATCTTTTAAAACTTATATTATTAAAGATAGAAATAACAGAAAAACTTGTATTAGTTGACTGACTATATCACAATCATGCACTTGATAGAGATGACACGAAAATTTTTGACAAATAACTGCACCACCACAAAAAACTGGTATCCAAAGTTATTCATATAAAATATAATGAACATGGTATAAATAAGAAAGACAATATAATATTCACTTCAAAATGTATATCTCCCTATATTATGAAAGTTTAATAACTTTTAATCAGTTCTAATACCTTTTTCCTTTATCTACGTCCTTCTCCTTGCATACTATACATAACCGAAGTAACATAAACCAACGGTATCCGACTACTGTTAGTTAATATTTACCATATGATGCATGATCACATCAAACTCTCACATAGATTGTACTCATTAATGTGCACTTTTCAATGTTATTAAGTTGTATAAGTCTGTGATAACCAAAGTTGAAATTCAAAAGTAAAACCATACGATTATTTCTTATGCATGCTATTAGTTACTTGTCAAGATTTTATATTGTTGTTAATCTTATGACTTAATGAGGCTGGCACAAATAGCCAGAAAAACATCACTAATAAAACTACTATTGAGTAAACTGAAAGTTACAACTTAAATTGCAAGCACTGCATTAAACATCTTTTTGGATATAAAAAAAGTTGTAATATATAAGTATACAAATATTATAGAAACGTGTGCAGATTTAAATCCAGAAGTTTTTAACTATATTCGCATATTTTTTAGGAATCATGATAGTAGTTGTTGCAATACTTTAGCCCGTTAAAGCAAATCTCCACCTTATAGATAAGCTCGTTTTCCATGATAAGCAAAAACCAGGCATGCAAGGTAGGGGAATACCCCTCACTAACGGCTTTTCCTTCGTCTCTATGCATGGAAAGGGGCTCTCTCACTTTTTAGTTACTTGTAATGATGACAT